GCAATCGACTAAATTTTCAATAGCGATAAAAAATATCCATTAGTACCGTCCTAATGACGCGTTCATCTAGATAAGATTTTTGGCCAATCTTAGATTTATAGGCCAACATTAGAGCCATTTCTCCTACCATGTATTTTTGAGGCCCTGCGCTTTGGTCAGATAGCGTATAGGGCGTTGTTGAGCCAATTTGGTCGTGGCACATTTCGAGTATGAGAGAGTGATTGCAGTTTGCTCAAACGTGTCTGAGTAAAATGCACGTATTTCGATGATTACCCGTAGTTGTTACAGTGAAGATATACACCCATGTTCTCGTTTTTGTCTGGACGTGTTTGTCATACAGAAACATTTTTATTTGATTTTGTATGGTGGATGGTTTTCGGGCGTCGACGGGCATATGGGTGATAATATTAAGTTTACGTTAGGATAACGTTGAAAAATTGAGAAATGTATCGCTTCAATTGGAGAAGCACTTCAATTCGCAACCGATGAACCATTCTGACGTACGCGTGAGTACCAAAGTAACCATATAATCACAAAATAACTTTTAATTGAGGTTCAGAGTGAGAAAATGTCACTGAGATATGATTAGTTGGGTATTCAGATGACTATTACTTTAAAAAACTAATCCTGGTTGTATCTCTTTTTCGTTTGAATGTAACACTATTTGTTATTACTAACCGTACCGAGCAACCGGACAAACTGACGCGATTGGTCAAGGCAACGATGGATCGAGTGATGTGCGTTGTTCAAGTATCGGGGACACTCTCGAGTCTCTTTGAATCTCGAAGGGGGTTACGGCAAGGTGATGGACTTTCGTGTCTGCTATTCAACATCGCGTTAGAAGGTGTGATCAGAAGAGCTGAGATATACACGAGTGGCACGATCTTCAGGAAGTCCATCCAGCTTCTTGGCTTCGCCGAGGACATTGACATCATGGCACGGAACTTTGAGACGATGGCGGAAACGTACATCAGACTGAAGGCTGAAGCTAGGCGGATTGGACTTGCCATCAACGCATCAAAGCCAAAAAATACATGAAAGGAAGAGGTTCTAGGGAAGACAATGTTAGCCTCCCACCTCGAGTTCAGATTGACGGTGACGAAATCGATGTGGTCGATGAGTTCGTGTATTAAGGCTCACTGGTGACCGCCGAAAATGATACCAGCAGAGAAATTCAAAGACGCATTATGGCAGGGAATCGTGCCTACTTTGGACTCCGGAGGACGCTCCGGTCGAATAAAATTCGCCGCCGCACGAAGTTGACTGTCTACAAGAGACTGATTAGACCGGTGGTGCTCTACGGCCACGAAACCTGGACTATGCTCGTGGAGGACCAACGCGCCCTTGGTGTTTTCGAACGGAAGGTGTTGCGTACCATCTACGGTGGAGTGCAGATGGATGACGGAACGTGGAGGAGGCGAATGAACCACGAATTGCACCAGCTGCTGGGAGAACCATCCATCGTCCACATTGCAAAAAGTGGGCGACTACGGTGGGCTGGGCACGTCGTAAGAATGCCGCACGACGACCCAGTGAAAATGGTTCTAGAAAGCGACCCAACAGGAACAAGAAGAAGAGACGCGCAGCGGGCAAGGTGGATCGACCAAGTACAAGGTGACCTGCGGATCCTTCGCAGACTACGAGGCTGGCGAAGTGTGGCCATGGATCGAGTAGAGTGGAGACGACTTCTTCGGACAGCAGAGGACAACAAGGCCTTAGTCTGATTGGTAAGGTAAGTAACCGTACCGAGCCTTCATTCCGGGTGATGAGCGAGCCTGAAGAAGAAGAAGATAACCATGAACCCCTTCTCGGAACGAGTGTATTGTTGATGGACCTGGTCTACGATTCAAGACTGGTTTCTGTAATGATAAATATCACGATCTTCATCGAAATGTAAGTATTTTTGACAATAATCATAACAATCAACTCGTATATACATTGAAACACATATATAGAAGGGAAGGGACGGTCCAACAGGGCAACCGATTAAAGCGATTTGGACGGGGAGAGTGGGAATGCCAACTCCCTGTTGATAACATTTCGTGGATAAAGGGCGGGCTCTTCTCCCCACTCATTGGGGCATCTTCCTGTTCAGGGGCTTGTCTTTTTGACCAATTGGCTGATCAAGTTGCTGGAAGGATATTCTTTATTGTTGTGCAGCATTACTCAACCATCACGACTAATGGTTCTTTTCATAAATTATTGTTGTTTAAGAGTTAATTTTCTTTGAATGTTCGCTCGCCTTGCTGCCAGTCACATCGCCCCCAAAGCTGTTTTATAATGTACCCATCAGCCAAACGTTTGTGAACAAATGCGTAACAGTATTTAAGTGGTACATACAATGACCGCATACCACATGACCTTGTCAATTAACCAGAAGCACTTCGAATTAAAGTAAAGTTTTCTCCAGGACGCTAGAAAAAAAAAAATAATAATAATCACGAATACATATGTTTGATCGCAATTATCTCGAGATTGGAAAATTTTGGTTCGAAATTCCTCCAATAAATTTTGGTTTTTTTATTATCTTTTGAATAAACCAAAACTTCCGTGCGTTTTGTGCACGAAAATGCTTAATTTTGTCATCAGAAAACGACGCGTTTCCGTGATGGGGAAAAAGTGTGTTTCCCTAACACAGTCGCCAAATATAGATACCGAGCACGTAATCTTTCGTCAAATCTACGGCCGTGTCTTAGATACAACCTCTTACTTTTTTTTCAGTGCGCGAAATGACCCACAGAGAATTGTTCTCCTATCTTTTGGTTATACAATGTAACAATTAAAAATAAATTTTGTTTAATTTTGGAAATTTACTTTTGGCCAGCTTGATTAGAAAAAATACTCCTTAGTGTGCAACTTGATCTGCTTCGGAGTTGATTTCCTGTGATCCTAGCTAGTGCATCATTAAACCATATAATGAAACGTAGGCGTTCTGTTGAAAATCGCTTCTATGTTGCGAATTGTTTGCTTTGTTTTGGTTCATTCTTTTCGCTTATTTTATGCAATAACTATGACATTTGATGTTTCTAAACAGTATTTCTTTGAACTTTGTGGATTTATTTTCAACATGCCTGATGAAGTATACTCAAAATTATGATCCCCTCCCCCTAGAACCGACCAAGTGAAAACATTCGCTAAAGAAAACAAATACAGCACGTGCAGGATCATCTTACCAGCAGCCGTTCGCCACACGAAGATCCCAAATGTCATCCTCGATCACCCTCATCCTCCCCCGCCGCCACTCATCATCGCAGCCAATACGTCACGGTCTTTAGTGTGCAGGGATTTCCCGTTTTTCAGGCAGCCAAAGCCGATCAGATGACGACAAGCGTGCCTTGAAATGTGTCGATAATTGTGCACACAAAAGCCAACAAAACTACCGACCGGCGAAGCGTAACGTACACCCACCCCCTGCACCGTCCTAGTCGTCGTCATAAAAAAAGCATAACGAACGACACACACAAGACAGGATCTACCTGAATCCCTAGTCTGGATATCTACGGCTTTGGCACCTTCCCCGGAGACACACACATTACGTCACACGCACATTCTCGGATTGATCTTCTCTGTTGGTAGGTATTTCTTTGCCACATTGATGCTGAAACATTTATTGATTCTGGCATTGTGAGACCCTGAACAAAGATGAACATGCGTTTATAAACTCATTTATTTATTAAAAGCTGAAAAATCACGACCCCGAGTTGAGGGACATGAATAGAAGAGAATCTTTTGCCTTTCTGCAGTAACATCTGTCCGTCTTCGATGCTGGTGACTGGTTCTTTACTCCCGAGGTAGGACCGTTCGAAGAAGGTATCTATTTTCATAAATCGAACATCGAAGAAAGACACACAAAAAGGAAAACCATTCAGCGCCGGTAAGGAACATTTCTTGAAATGCACGTGCTCGCAAGCATTGGAAATAGTTATGAAGGGCAAGAGGACATCCGAGATCAATAAAGTCGATCTTCAACAGCGCACATCTGCCTTCTAGAGGGATGATTTGCTTTTCACGGGATTGGCGCTATTGTACGGGTCTATTGTCGGTGGGTGATATATAAAATCAACAACCCCAGTAGGGATCGGTTTTTATTTTCAAACGAATATCGTGTTCGATGCAGCGGCCAGATCTTGTCAAGAAAAATCAAACCACTATTCAATCATATCTAAGGAATACGTTTCTCACACCACCGTAACCTCCAAACTTAATTACTAAAGCACGGATCATATCACCTTGCTACCGACTGGCCGACCAACAGAGTCTGACGAAACTCCAGAAGCCCGACTTCAACTCTATTGCTTAACACTAAATACAGCTCACACACCCACCTCACAGCACCACCTGCCCTAGTATTTAGACTAGACTATGGCGAGAGCTAAATGTACCGTTGACGCCCTCCATCGCCACCTTCTGCTTGTTCTGGTTTAATCGAAATCCGAACGACGACAGACGATTGAAAAACAATCGTCAGTCAACCACACGGCACCATCGATCACACCGAACATGAGGTCGGAACTCGGTAGTTCTTGACGGTAGCAACGATTGCAGGCGCTTCCCTTAGATCACCACACGCTGATTGTGCCTCTGCTTGGTTGTAGGCCCCCACCAAGCCAGCAGGCGAAGAGGGAAAAGTTTAATTATTAAATCGTGCGCTGTTTAATGTGCTACCATTTTTTTTCCGCTCTCAACTAGTAGATCTGGTGGAGAGGTTAAGGAAACCCACTGACGAAGGCTGGGTCGTGTTTGGTGAGTTATGAACGATTTCCAAATAGCGTTTAATGTGCGAAAAAGTTGTGGGCTTTGGTAACGGACGTGCTATGATGATTGATTGTTGAGTGAATTCTGTTCTTGGATCGAGCGAACTGGTAGTTATCTTTTTTTAAATCTAATCCTTTCGAATTGATGGTCTCACATACAGTAGTAGATCACTTGAATCGAAAAAGTGAATGTACCCAATAGATGGCAGACCGATTAGTCGAAGATTAACTGATTTCTTCATGAAAGTTTCAGCGGTAAATTTGAATATCAGATGGCTCTTCTTTTATTTACTAGATTTGGAACATTTTTTCCAAACTGGCATCCAGAAAATTCCTTGTAAATCTAATGTCTATGAACATTGCTTGTCATCAATTTTGTCCACCATTTTTCTTACCTCGCTTTTCTCATAAGGCTTCATACTACTTCTTAGCAGTGACATATAGTCTTGGGATCTAATTTCCCGGTAGTCAAATGCTTCTTTGAAATCATCCACCACTTTCGGATCATCCAGCAAACATTTGTAGTAATGAATTGCAATGGCCCCCGGATCGGTTTCCTTCAAGTTTCCTTTGCACTTTTGCAGGGTAGCTTTCATGGCATTTGGTTTCTTACCCACCAGCTGTAAATCTCTGACGATTTCTTCAGCCTAATTGAAAAGAAAGTATCAAATCAATCAAAGCGACATGCACCAATCGGATTTCACTTACATTCAGCTCATTCTTCTTGTTCAAATATCGCAGTCCTTTAAAAATGCACGCCATGTGGTTACTGAACTCCTTACCACTGCTTAGTTCATACTTCCTGATTTTGCATAATTCTTGCTTTCGTTTGGCACTACCAGCCGGATAGTTTATATTCTCACAGAACACAAATAGTGATTGACCTTTCTGTTTGATTGTATCACCCTGGAATGACAATTGTTCGAGTAAAATTTCCTAGTCTAATCAGAAGCACAGTAAAACCTTAGCTTTGTAGAACTTTTCCGCGGACGATCTATCGCCAAATAGAATGGCTTTGATTGTATCCAGGTACTTAGCGTGGACATCTTTGTATGCGTTGAACACAGCCGTACAGTTGAACGATTTTTGAAGTTTTATTAGATTGAACTCATCTGCGAGAGCTAACACCTTTTCTCGGTCAGCGGATTGGTATTGATGGTATGTCTCCCATTGTTGAACCACTCTGACGCCCTTTAGGATAGATCCACATCATTGCTTGGATTGAATGATTTTTCAAGTACCAAATTTATCATACCTTGAATTTCTTCTCGCCAAAGTCGTAAAATCCAATCTTCTCCAACATACACTTGGTGTAGCAGTGGGTGGCTTGGTCGTCCGATGGTTGCAATTTCCAGTTCATCCAATTTTCCAATGCCTTTTTGGGATCCTTAGCTTTTGGTGACCAGTCCTCCATACAGCGTGAGGCGATGAAGAGGACCTGCTCCGGATCTACTGCATCCCACAATGGGGTGGCCTAGAATTTCAAACACTCGTTTGTTGCATATATGAATTACATATATCTTGAATTAATTGTTCACCAGACTCACTGCTACAGCGAATATTGACAACAGAAGGAATCGGATTGAAGTCATGTTGCGAACTAAAGCTAGCGATTTCCATTTGATTTAATATAGCTTCATTTCATTCAAGGGATTGTTTATTATTAAATATAGGTTCAGTTGTTATAGTCAAATCAACAAATAGCAATGAGCAAATATTTTTTCAGTTTTACAATTCTCCTTTATGCAGTCTCAACCAATGGGTTGCAACTCACCGGTAGGTTACGGGCTGTCCTTAGATTGGTCACTGGTAGGATTGGAAGGCTTCTCAGATACATTTAACCACACTAGTAATTTATTGAAATCCTAATAAAATCCTGTGACCAAACACTCCCGGGTTACTAGCTCAGTAGCATGAAACCCCCGAACTATGTCGCAGGGCCGGCATATTACTGGGTATTCGGAGGGGCTACGCGGACAAAGTATGAAAACAAGAATATTCACATTTTCTATAACATTTATTGCCCTATTAAAGAGTGATACGGTCAAAATTTGGTCAAGGGAAAACGCGTGTAAATCGGTGAAATCGTTTATTTAAAAAATCAAATTAAATTTCTTTTTCAAGTTCAATTAGTATAAAATTCAGGAAAAATATTCAGTTAGGCTTCCGCTTTTCCAAATCCGAATTGCCGGGCCTTACGCTTGACCCTTGCCATCAGATTTTGTACAGCCACCTTGTCCACCTTCTTCGCCGCAGAAAGCCAGTTTGCCTTGAACTGCTGCTCAGCAGTTTTTTTGGTCTTCTTTAGGTTCCGCTTGACAATAGCCCAGTATTTCTCAATTGGGCGGAGCTCTGGCGTGTTGGGAGGGTTCTTGTCCTTGGGAACCACCTGCACGTTGTTGGCGGCGTACCACTCCATGGCCTTTTTACCGTAATGGCAAGATGCCAAATCCGGCCAAAACAGTACGGAACAACCGTGTTTCTTCAGGAAAGGCAGCAGACGTTTATTCAAACACTCTTTCACGTAAATTTCTTGGTTGACAGTCCCGGAAGCTATGAAAATGCTGCTTTTCAAGCCACAGGTACAGATGGCTTGCCAAACCAGATATTTCTTTGCGAACTTTGACCTTTCCCCTTCTTTTTGCCGTATAAAACTCCTGTCCCGGAAGCTGCTTGTAGTCGGCTTTGACGTAGGTTTCGTCGTCCATTACCACGCAGTCAAACTTCGTCAGCATCGTCGTGTACAGCCTCCGGGATCGCGCTTTGGCCGTCGTATTTTGTTTATCATCGCGATTTGGAGTCACTACCTTCTTGTAAGTCGATAGTCCGGCTCGTTTTTTGGCTCGATGCACGGTTGTAGACGATACACCCAGCTTATTTGCGGCATCTCGGAGAGAGAGGTTAGGGTTTCGCTTGAAACTACCGGCAACTCTCTTTGTCGTCTCAGCGGCTTCCGGTTTTCGATTTCCCCCCGATCCAGACTTCCTGGCTGTCGACAAACGTTCCCCAAACACTTTAATTACATTTGTAACGGTTGATTTGGCAACTTTTAGCGATTTTGCCAACTTTGCGTGCGAGTAGCTCGGATTTTCGCGATGCGCGAGCAAAATTTTGATACGCTGCTCTTCTTGCTTGGACGGCATTTTGACAACTGAAGAGTGAATTCCAAAATCAAAATAGGAGCAACATTCTACACACACACACCTTCAAAATAAGGGGTGTTCAGGTTTTTTAAATGCAAAATTGAAAGAAATACGTCAAGTTGATATTGACCAAATTTTGACCGTATCACCCTTTATGTGGCGTGTGGGTGTGGGTTTTCACAAATATGTGGCGTGTATGCGGGGGTTTAGAAAATTTAGTACTGTACTCACTGCTGCAGCAGGATCTCATACGGCGTCGCGACTCTAGCGTTGAACCACACGGCTGCTCCTGCACTACCGTGTGGCCGGAAACTTGCGGCGCGGTCTGCAGACAGTGTTGTTGCAGCTTTGGGAGAATGGCGGATCTGGCGGCGTTCATAAGCCACATGCGGCTCAGTAGGCGTTGCTGGCTCGTTTGGCTGGCAGGCGTCTTCCGTCGTTGACGGCATCGGCTGACCGTGGCATGGCCACCTTGGTCGAGCAGAGACGGGACCCTCCTTGGCAATTAAGGCCACCGGTCTGAGGGAATCATCCCTGACGGACGATCGGAGATAACTTTTGATTAGGCTCGGAAGCCATCTTGACTTCCGAGCCGAGCCGTGTGAGTCCGTTCTATTTACAGTACGAGGTCCTGAGAATTTTTCAGGGAAATTTCCGTCAGGATAATAAAAAGTAAATTACCTGAACGAAGGCAGTCCAACATACCAGAAACCCCACAATGGCACTGCATTTTACGATACCGGTCTACACGGACGCCTGATAACTTCTGCTCATTAGAAGGTTTTTGATTTAGAAGCTGGCACTCGCATGCCTGTTGCCGATTATTCTCCATTTAAGCTATGATTTTTCTCCCTTTAGTATCGTTCGAGTGTTTTTGCAGCGGTACTAACCTTCTCGCTGCTGTGTGTTGCCTTCTGTCTTTGATATTAAAATACGTGAATTTTCCAAACAACAACAACTCATACAGACGAAAATCCACGGATTGTAACCAACTGGTTACAATCCATATAAAGGGATGATTTTTTTTTCTAAAATTCCTGAACTTAAACTCAGTTTGATGAACTTCTTTCCAATCCATTCAGCTTACCAAAGTTCCCTGATACTCTATGAAGTTGCCTGAATTTGTGAGGACTACTTCTACGAAGTTCTCCGAACTTCATCGATGCTCCATGATTACTTTTTCCAAGTTCTATTAATTATGTAAAGATCTTAGAACATCCATGAGAATCTCCAAATTCCCGTTACAACCCTGAACCTTTTCTACAGATTTTTTCGAACACCTGTGTGAAACTAAATTCCCAAAACCTCCAGGAATTAAGCCACAAAGCTTCTTCAACTAATACGAATTTCCCTAAAGTTCTAAGAAGGCTAAATTAAATTACCATCTTCTACGATGTTTTTCGAGCTTCTACAAAGCTTATCAAACTTTTATGAAGTTCCCTGAATTTTTTTTCCAAAATATCTCGTACTTTTGACATTTTATGAATTTCCTCGAATTACGAAATACGAAGTACACAGAACTTTTGAGGATTTTGAAGATTTGTTGTGAATTTCTCGTAAGTTCTACAAAGTTACCAAACTATCTACAGAGTTTCCTGAACTTTTTCAAGACCGTTAAACTTTAGTTTCAACAAAACCCCTGTAAGCAGTGATGAAAATTTCTGAAATCCTACAAAGTTTCTTGAGCTTAGTTTGATGAACTATCCAATACATTCAGCCTATCCAAAGTTCCCTGATACTCAATGAAGTTCGCTGAACTTATGGGAAGTTCCGTCAACTTGTACGAAGTTCCTCGAACTTCGTTCATGCTCCATGAACACTTTTTTTTTCCAAGCTCTTTCCCCTAAGGTTATACGAAGATGCGTTAAGACGATGCCACCGCGACGAACGTCAGCGTCATTGGTGATTTCGGCGACGCCGTCGACAACGAAACTGCTGCCAGCCCGAGTGCAGCAAAAATGAAGCTTCCTCCACTGGTGGTGAAGCAAGTCCCACTCAACACGCTGATTGGCGATCTTTCATCGCTGGGCGTTGCAGCTGAGTTTAAGCTCGGCAGGATCGGCACCAAGGTGATGCTCCGAACCAAAGCGGAGTACGAAGTGGCTGTGAAATATCTGAAGGATACCAAGGCGGAATTCTTCACGCACGACATCCCCGGTGAGAAGCCCTTCAAGGTAGTCATCAGGGGTCTACCAAACTTCGACCCCAAGATGGTCGAAGCCGAAATCAACCGGTACAAGCTAGCCCCAATCGCTGTCTTCCGAATGACAAGGAGAGATGAAAACGTGAAGACGTACCCGGATTGTCTTTTCCTGGTGCACTTCCAGAAAGGGACGGTGACGCTCAATGCGCTACAAGCCATCCGATCGATCTACTCCATCATCGTACGGTGGGAGCCATACCGTGGCGGTCATCGTGACGTAACGCAGTGTCAGAGGTGCCTCAATTTTGGACACGGTACCCGCAACTGCAACATCAAGCCACGCTGCAGCAACTGCGCTCAAGAACACGCCACTTCCAACTGTCCTGCGGATGGAGCCGTGGCGATAAAATGAGCTAACTGTGGTGGTGCACATCAAGGCTCTGACAGACAGTGCTCCAAACGCGAGGACTTCAAACGCATCCGAAAGCTGGCGTCAAGCAACAATCAACCAGGACGCAAGAAGGACAAAACCCCATCATTCAGGACGGAGGATTTTCCGCCTCTTCGTGCTCCCCAGCAAAGGCAAGCGAATTCGCGGGTGCAACCCGCCCCCCCTCAAGAAGCTTCCGGTGATTCTGCTGGTCAAAGCTCTCCATCCCCCCCTGGATTCTGGAGACAACCAACAGCGCAAAACAACAACCCCGATCTGTTCTCAGCGGATGAACTGATGGAAATTTTCGTCAACATGTCCGGTGCTCTTCGTAAGTGCCGCAATAAGCCCGAACAGATCCAAGTGCTCGGTAAGTTCATCATCCAGTATGGCGTCTAAACCGCTAACTATCGTCACCTGGAATGCTTGCTCTGTAAGAGCAAAAAAGATTGAGCTTGCCGACTTCCTCCGCAAGCACAGCATCGACGTGGGCCTTCTAACCGAGACCCATCTAAAGTCCGGCGACAGCTTCTGGTTGCCTGACCACAACACTATCCGGCTTGATCGCACCAGCTCCAGGGGGGGTGGTGTTGCGGTCGTCGTCAAGAAAGGAATAAAATACCACACTCTGTCCCATATCCGCACCTCTATCATCGAGGCCCTTGGTGTGGAGGTGGAGTCGTCGACTGGATACGTCCAGTTCATCGCCGTCTACTGCCCTCGACAGTGTGCCGCCAGCAGTGGACTAGCGGCTAAATTCAAGAAGGACCTGTCCACCATCACCCGTACCGGTTCCCGCTTCGTAGTTGGAGGAGATCTGAATGCTCGCCATGAGGCCTGGCGGAACTACCAGCAGAACCAGAACGGTCGTCTCCT